CCCGGGGGGAAGGGGGGGGGGGAGGGGGGGGGGGGGGGGACTGCTCCCTTCACTGCTGTGTCCTGAGGGGCATGGATGCAGCAACAGCCAGGCAGGATGAGCGAGGGAATCCTGGCATCTGTGTCCCTGTGTATTTGTCCCTGCACTGCAGAGTGAGCAGTGGGGAGAGAGGGGACTGCTCCCCTTGCTGCTTTGTTGTGCAGGGACACAGACACAGGGACATGGATGCAGCCACGGCCAGGCAGGGAGGTGTGGGATCCTAGCATGTATGTCCCTATGCAGCAGAGTAGTGGGGAAGAACTGATCCCCCATATCGGTCATGAGGGGGTGGTCCCTCTCTCCCCTTGCTGCTCTGTCATACGGACATGTGGGTGCAGGGATGTAGATGCTTGGATTTTGCCTCCCTTTCCCCTCCCCACCCCCGTCACATCTGGCTGTGGCTGACAGTTATCTGTGGCTGACAGAGTTGGGGGTAAGGGGAACTACTTCCCCATGCCCAGCAGTCAATTGGGTGGCCCACCAGCTCAGCTCCACTTGGTATGCTCTGGCACTACATCCAATCTGCTGGCCTCAGCCAGTGCGGACACCCTGTGTGCTCCTCCCCCAAAAGGGCCAACATCTGTTCTATTCCCTCCCAATCTAACGTAGAGCACTTAAAGTGCAAAAGTTATATTGCTTCCACCCTGGGCTTTTTGAATGTCTGTAGTTAGGTTCGATTACAGGATTAAAGCCCTTACAGAAAATGAAAACTTCAATGTGACAAATTAAATCCCTAAAGAATATAGTGGTATTGTGAATGGCCTGACTTCTGTAAGGAAAGGATAGAAAAACAATACTAGGTTTGAAAAGTATAATAAAAGAAAAAAATGTCACTGAAAAAGCAGGTCACTGAAAAAACTGTTAGATAACACTAAAATAGTTAGATAACACTAAGGCTATGCTCAGTAACTTATGTACTAGTAAGGATTCAGTGTTTGCCTGCAATAAAGTCAGTACAACTAAAAGAAAATGTGATGCCAGTGATTTCTGCCATAAAGAAAGTAACATGACTACAAGCTAGACTGAAGGGTCTTTGAACCAAATGATAGAGAATGGCATCATATGTTGAGTGCAAGAACCTGTTGCGCTCATTCAGTTGTTACAGTCAACAAACCAGATGGCACTTTGAGAATTTGCATGGCTCCAAAGGAATTAAATGAAAATATCGAAAGAGAACATTTTCATCTGCCAATTTGAATGGAGATAATGGAAAGAATGACAGAGTGAAGTGGTTCTCTAATTTGGATGTTGCCATTAGATTCTGGCAAATACCTCTTGAAGAAATAAGTTTCAAAATATACTGTTTGGATGATATACTATGACTCTTGAGACTTCCTTTTTTAATATTATCTATACCAGAAATGATCAATAGACTACTGCTACAGCAAATGTTCAAAGGAATTCCTTGTACAGCTGTATGCCATGATAGTATATTCATATGGGAACTACCTGTAACAGAGCACATAGTGTACTCTGTTACTTGTAGGGGCCTGGGCAGCAGCAAGGCGGTCTGCAGCTAGTTGCAATCTTCATTTAGGCACAATAGCCTGACTGGGAACATGGCCCAGCTGTTCCTTATAAGAGATGGGCCCTGAACAGTAAGGGCAACAGTTTGCTGCTAGCAGCTGGGAGCTGCTGCTCATGACATCTTGGAGGTAAGGGCAGGAGCTATGGGGATGGCAGGAGGCTCCTGGTCCTGGGGCATGACCTAAAACTACACCCTGCTGGGGCTGGATGGTGTGGTGGGGCTGCTTATGGCAGGGCAGCTTCCAGGAAATGCCACACCTGGGGCCTCCCCAGTGAATGGTGAGTATGGGGCACCAGAAAGCCTCAGGCCCTGCTGCCTTGCTGGTGACCCTATAGAGGGGAAAGGCTAGGGGAGCACACCCTGAATAACAAAGCAAGGGCCCAGACTCACCATGAGTTCTGAGGCAGGGTCCCAGCCAGGTGAAGGGGCCAGAGATGGCACCCAGACTCACAGCGACATCTGAAGCTGGACTATGGGAGCCAAGAGTGAGACTCCAGGGGGTGGAGCCCTGAGCCTTTGGGGAGCTACAAGGGAAGCTCCTGGGGCAAAGGGATAAGGGATTGTGAGCCCAGTCTAGGGCAGGGGATAAGGCCCAGTATAGGGCAATGGAACAGGGCTAGGAACCCAAAGTGGGGCTGGGAGCTCTGAATGGAAGTGGGGCTTGGAGCCCAGAACTGGATTGGGGCTTGGAGCTCTGAGGGGTAAGGGCTTCAAGCCCAGAGTGAGGAACAACAGAGAGCCCAGTGAGAAGGCACTGGGACTAGGAGCTCCAGTGGGGAATGAGAGTCCCATGTGAGACTCTGGAGCTCGGGTCCCAGTGTGCAATGCTGAAAGAATATGGATGCCATCTGTGAGACATGAGACATAGTACAGGGGTGCTCATAGCCATGTACATAGGCGCTTGCCATCAGGGCTCATACATGGGTAGCCTCCCACATTATTGACATCTTTCAATCATTATCATCAAGGTGTGGCAGGAGAGGTAGGTGGGCAGTTTGCCCAGAGACAAGTAGGTGGGCCTACATTTAGACTGGCTTTGGGATGTCCACTTGTTACACTATCTCAGAGAAACATAACAAAAGACTACTTCTTCTTTTTAAAACTTTGTAAATGTGAGTTAAAATTGAGCTGAAAAAACTGCCTTTAAACAAAGAAGTAAAAAATCCTGACTGAAATTAATAAAATCTGTCAAGAAAAATTAAAAGCATTTTGAGAAAAGCTAAGAACATAGCAACCTAAAAGATTTATGATGCCTGATGTGAAAAATCATCTCAGGAATTTTCTAAAACAAGATACTATTTCTGTGCACATCCCTGTACCAACAAGTTGTTCTCTCCAGCAAGAAGCTTTTAGTTTTACAGATATTTTAAATAAGAAAATAGTTGGAAAAGATAACAAAGCCAAAAAAATTAAAAGAAAGACATACTGACAAACAGAATGATTTGATAATTCTTTCTACAACACTAGTGTTACAATATCTTAATGCAGTCATTAGTAATTTCCAGCCCCGCAAACTCACAATGTTCTGAAAACCACACAAACCCAACAATAATACATATATTGTTTACATGTAGATTTTATCTAAAGTCCATCAAGATTTTAAAAATGTGGTTTTAAATAGAGAAAGATAATCTAGGATTAGTCTCTAGATGTTTAGGCTTCTGGGAATAAGGAAAGTATGTAAATAGATTTAAAATCTTGGCTGATACAAATAAAACCCCGTGATCACAATCTAGCAACAAGGGTTGTGAAGCTCTTTCAAGGATACAAAGATTGTCATGGCATCTACAAAAACCGTAATCTGGTTTTGGAATATAGCCTAGACAGCAAGTTAGTGATGGTGGATTCACTGTCACATGCATTTTTGCCTAGTACAGTATCAAGGCAAATAAATTTAACTTTTACATTTATCTGTTCCAATCAGAGTGGCATATCTTTCATATAATAATGTTGAAAATTCATCAAAAGTGAGATTATGAAAATGCTATGCAAAATTATAAAAAAGAATAAACAGAAAAAAATAGCAAGCAACTCTGCAATCTATAAATCACAAAGATGAGTGTTACTAAAAAGCACACTTTCATAATACCATCCAGCTTAAAAAATAATTTCTGTAGCACGTTAAGCTATAGAGGCATAGTATAAATTAAAATATTAAATGATAATAAATGAAAAGATAAGCATAGGCATGGGTGGAGTATAACACTGCAGGAATGAAACAATGTGTGGACTCGATGATCTTCCGAGGTCCGTTCCAGCCCTAATGTCTATGAAATCTATGAAACAGACAAGAAAACATCTCACAACAAGGCAAGCTTAGGAAGATTTTTAAAAATATGGTATCCAGGAACTGTTTCTTTATTACGTTAAAGTATCAGGATTATCAGATTCAAGCACAAGATCCATCATTCTGAGGTTTGCAACATATGGTATTCCATTAGTGGGTGGGGGTAGGAAATCAGAAACAGGCAAATATTCAGTAGAAGAGACTAGACAATTTGCTAACAAACTCAAATTTCATTTGACTCTTCAAGTGAAGGAATTATCAATTCAGGAAAATAAAATGGTTTTATTTGTATCTAGAACCAACAAATTGCAGAGGGATGTGAGCTATTGGAGCTGAATATTCCTTGTTGGCAAGTTTCTTCTTGGGGGGGAGGAGGGGAGGACAGGAGTTCTTCTTTTCCTTTAAATTGAAACCAAAGACTCTGATACCAAATTAGAGCCATGCAGCAATGAAAGAACTGTATAGAGATTGTAGGGCTGGGCCAGTATAAGACATGTTATTACTTCCTTACAAAACATTCTGGAAAAGAAAGCATCACCAGAGACTGCCATTATCTGCAAACTATTATGTTGCAGCTGCTCCAGTCCTAGCAGAAAGAGACTAAGATTCTGTCTACACAGGGAGGGGAGAAGGTGCAGTAAGTGGACTTCAGGATGTAACTGCCAGCACAACAGTTTGTAAATGCAACCCAGTAGGCTACAAAAATAGGAAGAGCCACATCCCTACTTAATATGCTGTAGTCTCATCTGCTTTTTGTCCTACTCATTGCATCTTTCTGAAAACTCTTGACAGCAGAGGTAATACCTTCCTATGTGCTTTTACAGAGCCTAATAAAATAGAACCCAATGTGGGATCTTTTTAGTATTTCTGCAATATTACTTTTATTACCAGGACATCCATAATGAAAGGGACTAAACCAATATACCAGAATTCTTAATAAAGAAATCTATTTGGGAATGTTTGATACAGGATACCACACTCAGAATGAGGTAGAACACAAATGAGGTAAGGCTCATACAAGAATAAATTATGGTTAAATGACTGTCATCATAAAGATACCAGATAAAATGCATGGGAATGAGACACAGGCTCTAAAAAGCAAAAGCAAGAACAGATCAAGCCTTATAATTCATCATACTACTATACTGAATAGAAAAGTCTACTATTCAGATGGGGCAAACAAAGGAAAAATGTAGCAGCTGCTGCTCCTAGTTACACTTGTATGTGGTATGCGCTGACTCCAGGAAAGTCCTGACAAGAAATGACTATTTCTAAGCAATAAGTGAAAAAAGAATTTTGGAGATGAAACTGACCTAAAAACTGTGTTGGAGTCACTAACAAAGATCTTGTACATACGGATAAGCTGCTAGTTAACTATGAAAATAATCCTAGAACAAACTGATGTGAACTCCGAAGTTTCAAGTATGTGACAAAGAAAAGTACTGACAGACACTATTTTTCCAAAGATTAAAATGACAAATTCATAGTGATCTCCGAGTCTAATAATTCTCAAAAAACTGGCAAAAAGTTAACTCCTGAAGGGACTGCTGTTATGAGAAGCATTACTTTTTTACAGAATCAATGGAAAAATTCATCTTGGAGCTAAACACTCACACAATCATGGAGGTGGGTTGAGTGACTTCTGGTTTCACAGTGCAATAACATTCTTGAAGAGGGGCACGATAAAAAGTGATTCAGGTTGGAAAAGCTCAGTAAACTGTACTATCAAACAAATAACAGTGGCAGGGAGCTGATCTCTAAATACTTCTTAAAAAAATAAGCAGAGTTGGTTTCTTTATCCTGGAAAATTGTCTCTATTCTTTGTATTCAACTTTTATTATTACTGAGGCAAATCTTAACACTCTTATTTAGTTCATGACTCATGGGAAAATAGGTTTCACAATACAGAAGGGAAACCCACACAAGTTCCTGAAGACCAATTTTTAGTGTCATGTAAAACTTTGATAAAATTGCAAGGTGGGCATGCTGCAGGGTACAATCAGCTCCATCCCAAAAGATTTTCATGTCTGCCTAAGACCTGGCCCTTGATTTTCCTTGTTGGCTCATTCACTTCACAAGGATGAATCACAGAATCATTGAAAGTTAGGGTTGGAGGGGACCTCAGGAGGTCATCTAGTTTAACCCCCTGATCAAGACAGAACCATCCTCAACTAGATCATCCTCAGCCAAAGCTTTGTTGAGCTGGGTTTTGAAAACTTCCAAGGATGGAGCTTCCATCACCTCTTGGGTAACCTGTTTCAGAGTTTTACTACCCACCTAGTGAGAAATTCTTCCTAATATCTAACCAACACTTCCCTTGCTGCAACTTGAGACTGTTGTTCCTTGTTCTGTCATCTGCTCCATTCACTTTCAAAACCCTCTTCAGGTAGTTGAAGGCTGATATTAAGCCCCCTCTCAGTCTCCTCTTTTTTAGACTAAATAAGGCCAGTTCCCTCAGTCTTTCCTCATAAATCATGTCCCCCAGTCCCCTCACCATTTTTGTCACCCTCCGCTGGACTCTCTCCAATTTGTCCACATCCTTTCTGTAGTGGGGGGCCAAAACTGAACACAGTATTACATGTGGCCTCACCAGTGCTGAATAGAGGGGAAGAATCACTTCCATTGACCTACTGGCAACACATCTACCAATGCACCCCAGTATGCCATTAGCCTTTTTGGCAACAAGGTCACACTGCTGGCTCATATCCAGCATATTGTCAACTGTAACACCCAGGTCCTTTTCTGCAAAGCTGCTGCCCAGCCAGTCAGCCTCCAGCCTGTACTGATACATGGGACTGGTCTGTCCTAAGTGCAAGATTTTACACTTGTCCTTGTTGAACCTCATGAGATTTCTTTTGGCCCAATCCTCCAATTTGTCTAGGTCACTCTGAATCCTAGCCCTACCCTCCAGCATATCTACTACTCTCCCCAGGTTAGTGTCATCTGCAAACTTGCTGAGGGTGCAATCCATCCCATCTTCCAGGTCATTGATGAAGACAATGAACAAAATCTGCCCCAGGACCAACCCCTGGGGCACTCTACTTAATACCAGCTGCCAACTAAACATTGAGCCATTGATTACTAGTTTTTAAGCCCAATGCTTCAGCCTGTCTTCTATTTACCTTACAGTCTATTCATCCAGCCCATATGTCCTTAGCTTGCCTGCAAGAATGCTGTGGGAGACAGTACCAAAAGCCTTGCTAAAATCAAGGTACACAACATCCACGGGTCTCCCTGCATCCAGAGAGCCAGTCACCTCATCATAGAAGGCAATCAGGTTTGTAAGGCATGACTTGCCCTTGATAAATCCATGCTGACTGTTCCTAATCAACTGTTTTCTCCTCCAAGGGCTGTCCTTCCTGAACAGTTTGTACCCATCTATTACCCTGCTCCAGTCATGTGAGCTATCTCACCAAGTCTCTGCTATTCCAATCACATCATAGTTCCATGACTGTAGAAGGAATTCCAGTTCTTCCTGCTTGTTTCCCAGGCTCCATGCATTTGTGTACAGGCACCTGAGGTAACTAGTTGACTGCCCCGATTTGTTGGGAAGTATGAGAGCACCTCCCCTGTTTCCCCCTCCTACTTGCTCTTCGTCCAGGTCTCCCGTTTCCTCACTTACCTCAAGGCTTTGGTCTCCATCACCTGGTGAACCTAGTTTAAAGCCCTCCTCACTAAAGTTAGTAAGCCTGTCTATGAAGATGCTCTTCCCTCTCTTTGTCAGATGGATCTCATCTCTTCCCAGCAATCCTTCTTGAAAGAACATCCTATGGTCAAAGAAGCCAAATCCCTGCTGGCAACACCACCTGTGCAGCCAGGTGTTGATCTGCAGGATGCATCTGCTCCTGCCCAGGCCCTTTCCCTTGATCAGAAGGATTGATGAGAACAGAACTTGAGCCCCAGACCCTCTCACCCTTTCACCCAGAGCCCTGTAGTCACTTGTGATATGCTCAGGGTCTCCCCTAGCAGTAGCATTAGTGCCCGCATAGATAAGCAGCATGGGGTAGTAGTCAGAGGGCTGAATGAGCCTCAGTAGTCCTTCTGTGACATCTTGGATCAAGGATCAGGGCAAACAGAAAACCTCCCAAGACAACAGGTCAGGTCAGCTGATGGCTCCCTCTGTCCCCTACAGAAGGGAGTCTCCAAGCACCACCCATCGCTTCTTCTTGGTGGCAGTCGTCTCGATCCTTCCCACCTTGGTGAGGCCTGGCCTGTCTTCCTCCACCAATGGAACGTGCTTCTCCCTCTCTGCTGCTAGGGCTGCATATCTGTTCTCCAGATGAATGACTGCAGGTGGAGGTGAAGATCTGTCCTTGCTGCCAGAAGTCACAAGCCTCCAGCTTCTACCCTCTTGGGTGTCCATGTCCTCTCTCTTCACCTGATCTCTGAGGGGGGTGCACATAGGTATTCAAGGAGGTTAGGGTGTGGTTAGATTGCATTAAAAATGGCCACCCAATCTAACTTAGTTTGCCCAGTTAGGTCAATCTAACTGTTAACTGAACAGAAGTTCCAGGAACGTTAGATCAGTCTAAAAATGGCTAAGCCAATCTAAGTTAACCTCTGACATGCACTTAACTTATATCAGGTTG